TCATTCTTCTGCATGTGGCTGTCCAATTTTCCCAACACCATTTGTTGAAGAGACTGTCTTTTTTCCATTGGATATTTTTTCCTGCTTTGTTGAAAATTAGTTGACCATAGAGTTGAGGGTCCATTTCTGGGTTCTCCATTCTGTTCCACTGATCTATTTGTCTGTTTTTGTGCCAATACCATACTGTCTTAATGATTACAGCTTTGTAATAGAGCTTGAAGTCCAGAATTGTTATGCCACCAGCTTGGGTTTTCTTTTTCAACATTCCTTTGGCTATTCGGGGTCTTTTCTGGTTCCATACAAATGTTAGGATTATTTGTTCCAGCTCTGTGAAAAAAGTTGATGGTATTTTGATAGGGATTGCACTGAATGTGTAGATTGCTCTAGGTAGCATAGACTTTTTAACAGTATTTGTTGTTCCAATCTCTGAGCATGGAACGTTTTTCCATTTCTTTGTATCTTCCTCAATTCCTTTCATGAGTGTTCTATAGTTTTCAGAGTACAGATTCTTTGTGTCTTTGGTTAGGCTTATTCCTAGGTATCTTATGGTTTTTGGTGCAATTGTAAATGCAATCAACTCCATAATTCCTCCTTCTTCTATCTCATTGTTAGTGTATAGACATGTAACGATTTCTGTGCATTGTTTTTATATCCTGCCATTTTGCTGAATTCCTGTATGAGTTTAAGCAATTTTGGGATGGAGTCTTTTGGGTTTTCCACATACAGTATCATGTCATCCACGAAGAGTCAGAGTTTGACTTCTTTACCGATTTGGATGACTTTTATTTTTGTTGTCTGATTGGACTTCTAGTACTATGTTGAACAGCAGTGCAACTACCAATATTTTTATAGGGATACTAAGATACATTGTAAAATAACAGAGGAAAGCACGAGAATAACATTACCTAGAGCAGTGGGCACCTCCGAGGGATAGGACAAGTAAAAGGGTCGAAGACAGCGGAATGACCATACACTTACCTGTCCAAACCAGGACACGTTTAAGATTGAAAGGAGGTGCTAAAAATTATTAAATTACAAAACTTTTTAAATATCGCCAGATTGTCTGACAAATTGGTTTTATCATATTGATGACATATTGCTCAAAGAAAAACATATTCTTCAACAACTTTCCTGAGAAACAAAATTCATTAATTTTTTTATCAAACATGCACTACCATTTCTTTTCTTTTCTTTTTTTTTTTTGAGCTGCTTGCTTCCAGAACAACAGGTGTCGACCCAGTTAAGTCTCAGGTAAACTAAAGCACACTGCTGTCCAAGAGGAAGGGCACATGGGAGGTTAGGAAGAACTTCTACTCCTTAAGTCTGAGCAGTGGGGACACCATTTACTGACACTTGCTTTATACCACATACGTATTTTATAAATATCCTTTTCTATCTGACATTTATTTCAAACTGTTTAAAAGCAAACAAGAAGAGGACGTACTCAGTACACAAGGTCTCATGTAATATCCATCCTTCAATTTGGGATCTTCGGGTACATGTATGTCTCCACCACACAGCACTTTAGCACCCTGCCCAAAAAGAAGAAGAATGCATAGTTTCTATTAAACACACAATCCTGATATGCATCCCTGAAACATTCAGTGTGTCTTGAGCAGACACCTAGTCAGTCCACTGCAGGTACAAAGCAGAACACAGCTGAGGACATCGTGAGCCAAGCAGATATTAGCACAGGAGAAGTGCACCCAGCAAGGAACGTGGAATAATTCCCACCCCCTCGCCCCATCCTATTTCTACTTGATTCTCACCTGCTCCTTTGCCAGCTTAACAAACCCAAGGACTCGCTCCAGGTGTGGGCGGTTAATGAGGGGACCCATCCTCGTATCTTCCAGAAGGGGATCTCCGATTTTTATCTTTTGGGTCCGTTTCACTACTTCTCTTGTAAATTCATCAAGAATTTCCTTTTGCACAAATACTCTTGTGCCATTACAACAAACCTGAAGGACAGACACAAATTTGTATGTGTGTAAGGAAGGAAAAAGGAAAAGAGGGAAGAATCCAACAGCTTTAATCTGAAAAGAGACAGTATACCTTTTTAAAAGGTTAGTTCCAGCTCTAAAAATTATCCCCATCCTGAACAGAATCACACATGGAATTGTGGACATACCACCCTATCAGCAAAGAAATTGCCCGCCCTCCGAGAAGAAAGTTCTGGCTTTTTGTTTGTTTACATTTCCTTAAGGCCATTCATAGATCCACATGAGCCACATGAGCTCTCCTATTGCCTCCTGTCAGAGGCTCAATGGGGCCGTGTATTTTAAGAGTAGGAGGGGACGGGAAAGCAAAAATAGACTTAAGAACTAGGGACTTGAGCCTAATAAAAACCTGAAGCATTTCACAGTGAACGTCTGTCTCTAAAATCACCAGTCATGACCACTTAGATCCTCCCGTAGAACGTGAGCACAGATACTGTTCAAATGCTATCAGAACTATAGATACAAAGTCCAAAAACAGAGCCAAGTACTCATGCTCACAGAATAATGAACACATATCAAAAGGTCACGGGAGCTGCCATGAGCCAAATCGGCAATTATCTGAGCATCAGAATAAATAATGATAGTAAATGGATTGTAATCCATAGAATAAAGTAAGAATCCATGGTCCATGATAATAAAAATAAATGAGTGAAAAAAACACGAGAGAAGGGAAAGTTCCTTCTCACAGTGGAGAGTGAACTAATAAATGCAGAAGAACAGTTTTATTGGGAAATCACCATTTGGGAACCCCCGTCATAGAAACTGTTTCCAGCAAAAACCATCCAAGGGTGTTAAGACTAGTGGGGGAGAGCTGAGGAGGTGCAGAATCCTGTCGCACTGTCTGCTATGTGACACGACTTCCCCGGTGAACCTCTGACAAGGACACAACATCGCTTCGGTGGTGTTTTGTGCCCCAACACATAACCCAAATCTTATCAAAAGGAAACACCAGACAGACCCCAAATGAGGGACATTCTACAAAATAAATAGCTTGTATTCTTCAAAAATGTCAAGGTCCTGAAAGATAAGAATAATTGAAGAGCTGTTCCAGACTAAAGGAGGCTATGGGGACACAACAACTAAATGTGACACACCTTCCTGGATTCGGTCTTAGACCAAAAGAAAAAAACTTGTGTTTTTGTTTAGTTTGCTAAAAGGACTAATGTCAAACAAATGACAACATGTGGGGCGCCTGGGTGGCTCAGTTGGTTAAACATCTGCCTTCAGCTCAGGTCATGATCCGATGGGTCCTCGGATCAAGTCCTGCATTGGACTCCTTGCTCAGCGGGGAGCCTGCTGCTCCCCCTGCTTGTGCTCTCTTTTTCTCTCTCAAATAAATAAATAAAATCTTTTTTAAAAAATGACAGTATGTGGATAGGGGCTACAGAGTTCGTATACTCCATATGAGGTTATTGATTTTACTAAGTGCACCGTGCTTACATAAGAGAATGCACTTGTTCAACATCGCTCGGCATCAGGGAAATCCAAATCAAAACCTCCATGAGATACCACCTCACACCAGTCAGAATGGCTAAAATGAACAAGTCAGGAAACGACAGATGTTGGCGGGGATGCGGAGAAAGGGGAACCCTCCTACACTGTTGATGGGAATGCAAGCTGGTGCAACCCCTCTGGAAAACAGTATGGAGGTTCCTCAAACAGTTGAAAATAGAGCTACCATACGATCCAGCAATTGCACTATTGGGTATTTACCCCAAAGATACAAATGTAGGGGTATGTTCACCCCAATGTTTATAGCAGCAATGTCCACAATAGCCAAACTGTGGAAAGAGCCAAGATGTCCATCGACAGATGAACGGATAAAGAAGATGTGGTATATATACACAATGGAATATTATGCGGCCATCAAAAGGAATGAGATCTTGCCATTTGCAACGATGTGGGTGGAACTGGAGGGTGTTATGCTGAGCGAGATAAGTCAATCAGAGAAAGACATGTATCATATGACCTCACTGATATGAGGAATTCTTAATCTCAGGAAACAAACTGAGGGTTGCTGGAGTGGTGAGGGGTGGGAGGGATGGGGTGGCTGGGTGATAGACATCGGGGAGGGTATGTGCTATGGTGAGCACTGTGAATTGTACAAGACTGATGAATCACGGATCTGTACTTCTGAAACAAATAATGCAATATATGTTAAGAAAAAAAAGAAGAAGAAGATAGCAGGAGGGGAAGAATGAAGGGGAGTAAGTCGGAGGGGGAGACGAACCATTAGAGACGATGGACTCTGAAAAACAAACTGAGGGTTCTAGAGGGGAGGGGGGTGGGGGGATGGGTTAGCCTGGTGATGGGTATTAAAGAGGGCACATTCTGCGTGGAGCACTGGGTGTTATGCACAAACAATGAATCATGGAACACTGCATCAAAAACTAATGATGTAATGTATGGTGGTTAACATAACAATAAAAAAATTATTAAAAAAAAAAAAAAAGAATGCACTTGTAGGAAGCCTGGGTGGCTCAGTCGTTAAGCGTCTGCCTTCGGCTCGGGTCATGATCTCAGGGTCCTGGGATCGAGCCCCACACTGGGCTCCCTGCTCTGTGGGAAGCCTGCTTCTCCCTTTGCCACTCCCCCTGCTTGTGTCCCCTCTCTTGCTGTGTCTCTCTCTGTCAAATAAATAAAAATCTTTTATTAAAAAAAAAGAGAGAATGTACTTGTTTCTAGAAAACACACACAGAAATGTAAAAGTTACGGATCTTATGTCTGCAACTTTCAAACAGTTCAGAAAAAGATAACATGCATGTGTATGTATAGAAAAAGAAACAGAATGACAAAGGAAATGTGATAAAATGTTAACACTTGAGAAACGTGGCTCAAGGATGCGAAGGAATTCTTTGCACTATCTGGGCAACGCTTCTGTAAGTCTGAAATTATTTTGAAACAGAAAGCTTTAAAACATGCTGTTCGATGAAGGGGCAAGATTCCTTTGAGACCTCTGCCAGGGACGGGTGCATACCTCGCCTTGCGTGAGGAAGTTAGCCATCAGCGCCCCCTTCACAGCGTTCTCCATATCACAATCGGAGAAGATGATCAGGGGAGATTTGCCTCCCAGTTCCAATGTGACAGGTTTGATTCCTTTAGCTGACATCTCCATGATCTTACAGAACAAGAACAAACACATTGAGAAGCGTCCTGCATATAAAACCGCATGCTACATCAGCTAGAACCTGAGCCTCCAGGCATCTCGAACTACGAATGACCTGCAGCCTTGTTCTTGTCAGGGACTTTGCCCTTTCGTCTACTTATCCTTTTCCAGAACCCTTGAGAATGCACAGGACTGCACTTGACTTTCTGAGGAGGGAATGCATTTTGAAACTATCGTTCATTCACGTGTCACAGGCGGAAACCCTTCTATTACTATTACTGTGTTCAAGGCTGACAATTAGTTAAGGTCAAAACAATACATCGGAAATAAACTGAGCGAGCACCCTCCCTTCTGAGGTGGCTGCTACAGAGGAGCTCAGACACCAAGGACCCAAGTGGCAGCCCAGACCCCGCGCTCGGAGACATGGGCAGGTGACTCCCATCCCCTCGGGGACCGACTGCCAGCCTAATGTTCTGATCATTCCACCCCACTTCGTTCCCTGCTTCACACGTCTAAAGCACACTTCAGATCTTTGTCCCGATCCCTACGGCCTCCCCGCCAGCCCAAGCTGGGTAAGATTGGAAGATAAGCCTCCAACATGCACTCGGGGCAGGCCCGACACTGCCGTTTGTGGGGACCCACACTGGTTTCATTACCTTCGAGCCGGTGGGCACACTCCCGGTGAAGGAGACTTTGGCCACGTCAGGATGCTGACACAGAAACTGGCCCGTGGCCGCCCCTCCTTGAACCACGTTGAAGAGCCCGGGGGGCACGCCGGCCTCCGTGTAGATTTCGGCCAGCTGCAGCACCGACACCGGCGTGAAGGGAGAGGGCTTGAAGACCATGGCGTTACCTGCGCAAACCCAAGACGCAAGCACAGAAGACTGCTTAAGACCGGTGATCCTCTGAGCACAGGACGGGACAGGAGGACAAGCCAAGAGCAACTCCAAGTGTTCCCTGTTCCCCGCCCTCCATCACCTCCTAGACCCGCACTGGTACAAATAAGTCAACCCAGCTTGTTCTCCCCACCTTGGCTTCTTGCAATGAGCAGATCCCAAGCCACACACCCACCCAGTCTCAACCAGGAACACCTTACATTCGCATTTCCAGGCCTTTCCACACCTATGCTCTCATTTAACTCGTGCCACAGCAGGAGGAAGTGGTGCGCTCACTCCCATTTTAGAGAAGTTGAAATGGAAGACCAGAAAGGTTCATTTTGATGAGTCTCCAAAGCTAGTGACTTAGTTCTAGTCCTTCTGTCGCAGCTGCCTCTGCCTCGCACGGGAACTTGCAAAAAGCAGGACGTAAGCGGCAACATGAGGAAAGCTGCATTTCAACACAGCGGCCCAACTGTGGCGCTTTCTTTAACCTCAGGATTTTTTTTCCTAAGATACAATAAACCATCTTTTCCCACCGATTCGTCTTTAAATAGAATGAGAAAACTTCTTCGGTCAGCCAGCCCAAGTTTCTCTAATGGGAGCCTTGTTTATTATTTGTCTTAAGAAGGACGAAGTTTATCTTCTGCTTAAGTGAAGCCAAACTCTTGAGTGAGACTCCCTCCACAGAAATTCATCCCACAATTCTTCTGCAGAAAGGAGAACTTATAGGGAGCAAAAATCTAAATCAATGTGACCGTAAGAAATCAGGCTTCCAAGACCAAAATTAACGGTCTTCCTTTCCATAACAAAAATAAATTAGATAAATAAAAGTGGGAATAGGGGCGCCTGGGTGGCTCAGTCGGTTAAGTGCCTGCCTTCGGCTCAGGTCATGATCTCGGGGTCCTGGGATCGAGTCCCGCATCGGGCTCCCTGCTCAGCGGGGAGCCTGCTTCTCCCTCTGCTTGCAGCTCCCCCTGCTTGTGCTCTCTCTCTCAAATAAATAAAATCTTTTAAAAATTAAAATAAAATAACAGTGGGAATAACATAGAAGCAATCCATGTGCATGCGCTAAGCTGTCAGGTCCCGAGGCGGCAGGGTAGGGAGGGACGCCCGTCCTCTGAAGCTTCAGGTGCCCCAAGGCAGGCCCCTTCTGCTGTGGAGTATGAGTGTGTGTGTGTATGTGTGTGTGTGCACGGGCACGGACAGGTAAGAGGTAGACAATGGGGCGAGAGTGGACGGCTCCCACATGGAAGAGCCATTCTTTCTCACCACATGCTAAGGCCGGCGCCGACTTCCAGCAGGCGATCTGGAAGGGGTAGTTCCACGCGCCTATTCCCACACAGACGCCAAGCGGTTCTCTTCTGGTATAACCAAACGATCCGCCTGGGAGCTGGATATGCTCGCCTAAGGGGGAAACAGAGGAGTCACAGAGAATGCAGGACTGCCTTTCCAGAGACTCCGCCAACAGCCCTACTCAGCTTGTGCCGCAGTTGGTGGCCTCCCCGCTGACCCCGGCCTCCCCGCTGACTCCGGCCTCCCCGCTGACCCCGGCCTCCTCACTGTCTCCAATACACCGGTGCTCCCCGTCTCCGCTCTAATGTTCATTCTAGCCATGCGTGCACGCCTCTGCACATTCTCTCCGAAAAAGAATCCTACCCGTCCCTCAAACCTGTGTTCACTTAATACTGTAAAATCTTAGAGCGTCTAGCAGATAATAACTTAAAGGAAACAAGATGGAAGTGTAGGACCCAAACCTCAGACTCTGGCTCCCCACAGCCCTGCTGGGTGCTGGTGACCATCCAACACCAACCACTGTAAACCTCACAGTCAAACAAAACAAAACCTTTTCTGCTAACTTAACTAGGTAGAACTAGTAAACATAACACTTACTGACTCTTGCAAGAACTGGTTTTTTAACAACTTGGCCTGAAGCTCAGGTACCATGCTGAGTGCTTTACGTATATTTTCTCATTTAATCCTTATGATAACGCACGAAGACAGTTTCAATAAGGAAAGATAAAGTAATTCTCAGGGTCACCCACGCGGAGAGTGATAAAACCAGGATTTTTAACCCAGGTCTGTCTTAATCCCCAAATCTCTCTCCTTCACCACTAGGATCTGCTCTTCTGCCTCCTGGCCACCTGCTCCCAGGCCAGGGCTCACCAGCCATGGATCCAGCCAAGCCCGCATAGTACTCGAGGCACTGCCATGAAGTGTCGATGTCCCAGCGGGCCTCGAAGATGGACTTGCCATTGTTGATGGTCTCCACAGTGGCGATTTCATCCTTCCGTTCCTTCGGGTAAAACAGAAGACTAGATTTAAGACATATTACCAGACACCTCAACATATTCAACACTCAGACTACATCATGCAATTTTTAAAAATAGAAACAGCTTGCACTTTTTTTTTTTTTTAGAAGGTGCTCAACCTAATTGGTGTTCAGGGAAATGTACTTTTTTTTAAATTTTATTTTATTATGTTAGTGAAACAGCTTGCACTTTAAATAAAGGGAGTGGTGCTGTTACATTTGGAAGAGAGAAAAAGATTACTGCAGAACAGAGCCCTAGTCTCCCCTCAAGTTAATCATCACAGATTTAAGACCCATACCCCGTTTCAAGGTCGGTTAGAAAAAGAATGGTTTGATGGGGCCCCTGAGTGACTCGGTCGGAGAAGTGTCCACCTTCGGCTCAAGTCATGATCCCGGGGTCCTGGGATCGAGCCCCATGTCGGGCTCCCTGCTCAGTGGGGAGCCTGCTTCTCTCTCTGCTCTTCACCCCACTCATGTGCATGCTCTCTCTCTCAAATAAATAAATAAATAAAATATTTAAAAAAAAAAACTTGTAAGAAAAGGAATGGTTTGCGAAGTGAATGTTATATATGTGTATGTTTATAAACACGTACGCACATGCACATACTGTGTTTGCATGTATAGAGTAAGAGACAGGCATCATTACGGAAATGGTAAACAATCGCCAAACACACATTTGTCAGGAAAGAGGTTATATACACGCATGGCTTTAAATCACCCAAAGACACGCAGCATGTGAAAATCACAAGATAATTACTTTCTAATGGTCAGTACTCATCAATTCTCTTGTTAAATACTGTCCCAGTTGTAGCCTCCATGACTCAGAGATGCTGGAGATGGTCCAGGGATGGAATGGAAAGGTTTGGGAAACTGGCCTAAAGAGAAAAGCTAAATAATGCCTATCTTTGTCCCAAAGATGAAAGACTTGAATGAACAGAGCATGTAAAAGTAGACATTGGCTATTATGGATCCAGTGTAAAAATAAACAAGAGGGTGAATATCTGGACATACATAAAAGGTGCACTGAAAACTGACAAGATGCAGCACTGTCTTATGAAACCTGATAAGCGGGGAGGCAGACCAGAAGCAAAAGGAAATGGCAACCACAAATATCACGAGCCCATACCCACAGTACACACCTTGGGAGAGAAGAGGGGAGGAATATAAAAATCACTGGGAAAGTCGGACTGTGAGATCTGAACACGTTATGCTTCCATAAAGGCCAGAGGCATCAAGAGTTTTGAGTGAGTCATTCCACCTTCATTACTAAGAAAAAAAACATATGGATCCAGTCTCTGCCTTCACGAAACTGATTTCTAAAACAGGAAGTTAGTAAATTCTAAGTAAGTTGGCCCAGACCCTGCGCTCTCAGACCCAGGCAAGAGATAAGGACTTCTGTCTCCACGGGCCCAACGCCAGTCAGCCGTTCTAACCACCCCCAGTGCACTGAACTAACCACTCCCTGCCCCCTCACACGTTTAGGGCACACTTTAGACCTTTGTCCACAGTATCAACGGCCTCCCGGCCCGTACAAACTAGATAAGATCAGAAGATAATCTGGGTAGGTCCGGCACTGTGAACCGAGAGATAAGTTTTCTTTAAATTATTAGATAACCCTGGAAATTACCCAAACTAAGACACAAAGGAAAAAAAAATGGGAAAAAAATGAACAGAGCATCAGTTGCTAGAGAGCTTCAAGCCGCCCAGTCTGTGTGTAACTGGAGGCCCTGAGGAGAGACAGAACAGGGGGCAGAAATTCAGTTAGAACTTCCTAATTTTAAGTTAAAGCACTGAAAAAAACCCGTCAACCTAGAATTATATACCTACAATTCTTTCCAAAGGCAAAGCAAAATGAAGACTTTCAGACACACCAGAGCTGAAAGAACATCACCAGCAAACCTGCACTATAAATGCTAAAGAAATTTCTTTAAGCAGAAAAAATATGACACCACATGGAAATCGGGGCCTACATGAAGGAATGAGGAGCACCAGAGGGAGAGGGAGAAGCAGCCTCCCCGCTGAGCAGGGAGCCCAGGACCCCGGGATTATGACCTGAGCTGAAGGCAGACACTTCCCCGACTGAACCACCCAGGTGCCAAAG